CTAGAAGCAAGAATCTGGATTTCACTAGCAAGGTTGACTTTCTCGCCAATCAAGTCAGTCACTTAACTGAGATGATAACTCGGTTAACTCAATCATCTTCTGCTTCTAAGAAAGTTTGGGTCAAGTGAAGCGAGCTCAAAGGTCGTGAAAATGGTTGTGCTCTTAATGGCAAGGGCATTCAAATTTCGCCATGATTATGTGATTAGACGCATGCATGTGCTGTTCATTGTGTCCATTCATTTGTGCATGCATCCTATTTATTTTTGTGTTAATTTTTGTTGGTTCATGTTTTTGCATTTATTTGCTTTAAGCATTATTAAAAAGTTTTTTGAAAAATGAGAAAAATACAAAAATAGTTTCTGGTTGGGTAAACGACACATGACTTTGAGTTTAAACCTGTTATGTGAGACCAAGTGAGCAATTATCTGAGCTATACTGTTATTTCCATTGCTTGGTCTAGTTTAATGTGGAGTACTGAGTATATGTGTCGTCATGAAATCATTTGCATTGCACACACTATGATCTTGTGAATAAGTTTGAACCGCGTGTGTGAGATTTGGAATGGCAGTCACATGTTAGTAGGGTGACCTTGAACATGAATTGATATACATTTAGATTACCTTGGTTCGAGATAGTCTCCATGCATTACTGCTTTTATGATGAAAAAAATGAGTGTTTAATTAGTTCATCTTATTCTCTGTTCGAAGCCTAGTTGACTTGAGTAATTAAACCCGATGGGTTTCTCATAACCTGGTGCCTATGGTCATCTGACTTAGGTTAACCGACCTAAATCTCGTTACATGGGTCAATCTGGTCGATTAATGGATAGGGTCTGCACATGAGATGTTATTTACGAGAAAATTGACAAAAAATATTTTATGCTAACATTCAGAGGGAGAAAAGAAAATTTATTACATATTTGAGCTCATTTTTAGGTCCTAAAATTATTGTGGTTTGACTTTCATCTATTGGAATCATACTTATTTAACAAGTGATGTTTCACATGTCATTTTTCACAAATTTACGGTTTGGAGTCACTTTCACGAGAAAATAGTGGTACATTACACACATGAGTCATTTATACACTTTACTTCATCTTGAACTTAACTGCGTATGTGAGAAAGTCGTTTTGATACTGTACGACTTATAATTACATCCTTGATTTTAATTATTGACGTGTAGAGAGCTTGAGTTGTTAATGTTGACGGTTTATTTTATTTAAAAAAATGGTGCTATTTTTCTTAAGTTTTTTTGTGCTATTTCTGTCAATTGAAGATTTTTGATGCTATGCTTCTTAATTGTTTTAATTAGGAGTGCTAAATTTGTCAATTGAAGCTTTTGGTGCTACTTTTCTTTATTTTTGAATTTGAAGTGCTATTTCTGTCATTTGCACTTTTGCTAGCTTATCGCTAGCCCTCGCTCGCTTATCGCTGGAGTGTCGTTCGAGCGATAGGCCGTCTTTTTGAATTTTAAAGCTACTTTCAGGGTTCTTCGCGAATTGCTTCCATTTCTTCTCTTGATTTATCTAAATCCTCCTTAGCCCACATCAAATTACTGCTTCCTAAGCACTAAATTAGTTCAATCACGCATTTTCGTGGTGCTATTTTATCAAAACATTGTGATTTCAAGGTAAACTTCGAAAAAACTTGATTTTTACTTATTTTTCCTATTCTCTTGGACACATCTCACGCATTTTTCATTATTGTTTGGGTTTTGGGTAGTGCTTCGCATGGGTTGATCTTTGACAAAACTTGTCATCAATTGTTGCATAATTTTTCATCAAAAATCGAATTTTTGGACACTTGTGT